ACACTAAAAACGTTGTTGGTTGGGCAACTTCACCGCGACGAAGAACAGGTGGATCCTCAAGATTTCTCCGACCGTTTGGGAATGTTCGTATAAAGGTTCTTCTGCTTGCGTCTGTGTCTGTGCGTATCTATGTGTGTGTATGTGTGGGATAAACGAAAAGTCGTATAGTCGTTGGTATATGCACGCCGTTAGGCTTTGGACGCTATCGAAATTGTCGGTATAAAACCGGGGATAGATGGGAGTGTTGCTCAACTTTGCGCCTAATTGTTAATCCACGGGGCTCATTCGATAAAAAAGTCTTAAGGTGAACTGTTTTGACCTCTTCGAATTTCAAATCAAAGAGAATACACTTAAGAAAAGTAATCTTCAAAGTAACTCTTTTTACAAGATACTCTCACCTAAAATTAGCAAAATAAACATTTTCTTACATAAAAACTCCTGCACCATTCAAATTTGTCAAAATGAAAAGAAATTATAGGACTTGATTTATTTCCAACTTATATTCTTATAACTTCTACGTAACTTCTTGTAACTTAAATCTGAGCTAATTACCTTGATGATAAACGTTTTAGATATTTGATTAAAATAAGTTATATCACATTAAAATCCTTATTATTGAAGCTTTCTTTTAAGATATCATACATGAAAATATCACAACTTATCCAGAAGATATGAAGAATAAAGTCCAACCTTGTTTTTTGACCAATTAAAGCTTTTCTGAGTAACTTGACTTTAAAGAAATCGAGTTAGTCAAATATAACGCGTCATATTGCAACGAATTCCTTATTAATTAGGCTTCCTTTTCTGATATCGCATACTAAAATATCTTGATTTTCATAAATATTATCTAAAGGAGAGTTATACATCATGATTTTCTTCAGTTGAAGTATGTAACTTGATTATGAACGTTGTAGGTGTTAGATCATAACATATCATATTAAAATCGTTATTAATTCAGCTTTCATTTAAGATATCAAGCATCAAAATATCTCGATTTAATCGAAAGATACGAAGTATAGAGTCCAACCTTGGATTCTGACCAATTAAAGCTCTTCTGCGTAATCAGACCTAAAAGATATCGAGTTAGTCAAATATAATATATATATATATATAACGAAAAGAAGTTACACGAGTTGAAATGGACGCTTTACGATTTTTTGATTGCTTTCCAACTTAAATTCTTGTAACTTCTACGCCACTGGTTAAAGCATAAGCACTTAGTTTCTGTTCTCCTATGTAAAAATGTCTGCAGAATTCAATTTTCTGTTGAAAATAAAATTTACTTCAGAGGCGAAAATTTTATAGACAAATTTTTATTTTTTATCTTATTCTATAAAATAAAACATGTAGGTATTAAGGTGAGGCTACATTGAGAGAATGTTAACCATTGTGAGCGTGAATCAACCCAGTGCCGTAACTTACCCTATCTGCGGGCCAAAACGGGGGTAGATTGGAACCCTGAAAGATCTCGTTAGTATTTATCTGTCCCAGAGGAGGCGTCGCGGCGCCCGGAGATATAACCCGCTATTACCGAGCATTCAGCTACATCGCCGAGGAGAGCACCACCACTCCATCATGTCCCGCTATCGCGATTGTCCCGATTAATTTTAATTATTTTCGGACGGGTTAAACGCCAAACATTTTTTTTGCCAAGTAGTAATAATAATATCCGGGGTTGTAATTGAGGGCTCAAACAATCAAACGACTTCCCGTTTAGTTGTTGATTGACTTGTTCAAACGCCGCTATCGCCCGAGGCTCATCGACAATTGTATGCTTGAGCACGTATCGGTTATTAATCGATTAGTTTACGTTATGTGGGAGGTGTTAAAACATCTTCTTAATAAAACAATTTGAGGAAGTTTACAAAACGACATAATTGGTGTGCTAGAGTTTAAAAAGGTAGTTCAAATGTTTCGTGCGTCTCCGTCGTCTGGTCGCCTAAAGCGACAACTTAAGCAATCCTTCCGCTGTGGTCTGCGATTTGCAAGGAATCCGACAGCCGCGACGTCCACGTGTAACACACACGCGGCCCCCCTAATTACCCGGTGCCGTTTTTGTCCTGGTCGTGCGCACGAGTTCGAACACGTTGGCAAAAAGGCGGCACGACCGAGACGATCGAATCGACCAAATCGGCCGAGTCGATCACTCCAAGAGAGATTTTTGGACGGAGAGAATTTCATAATTGGCGATAATCACGAGATTCGGGGCACCCCCGGCTCTCTTTTCTGCATGCAATTTTTTTATGAAATCGGTTTTGCCAATGGCTACAAAACGGCTCTTTCAAAAAACTTTTTTTTTAAAGAATATTATAACGTTAATAATAACGAATAAGTTTCCTAATTGCTGATGCTGATATATTAAAATGAAAAGGATCCAGGACAGTTATTCAAGAGAAATCATGAAATTCCTCGTGTAAATGGGTGTCTGCGTCGATATCGCGATGTCAAACAAATAGGGTCACGATGAAACAAAATGAAAATACTCTCCTCATTGTAATTCTTAAGGTGCGCACTTGTGTGGGTACGACTTCGTCCGTGCCCCGCCACCGCCGCCGAACGTTCTGCATGTGAAACTTTTACAGTTGACGTATTGTTAATTTATCACCGAGATGGAATCTGGGCACAGCGATTATTGAATATTCATCCATTTGCCTGAATAGAATACGTATCTATCAAAATGGTATCGTATTTCAAGTTGAAAACATTCTATTTTTGTTCGTGTAAAAGTAAATTATTGGTCGTTGATCATAATTATTAATAACTATGGTCATCATCCAACGATAACTTTAACGGAGCTGAACTTATGACCCTCGATATATCACCTGAACGTCGCGTCATATAGGCGAGTTTACAGTTAGATACGTCTTGTGATTTTGATTTTCAATTCTCAGCCTGTGCTGAGTGTAAATCAAACCGTAAATTTTCTCATTGTCGAGCCGCGGGCTGTAACATTATTGTAAAAAGGCCCCCGCGTTCGCGATGGTTTATGCAATTTTGATTTAATCTTAACGTTGCCGTAGCGGCCGTATCTATCTAACCCGGGGCATTTACAGTAGGTGCCAACCGGCGCGTTTCGGTTTATCATTGATTTAACTATTATAAATGGGCCTTAATTATTGCAATAAAGGTCCGTTACTACTACGACGACAGCGAATTTAAAACTTTAAATTCCTGCTACTACATTATAATAGTACTTTAAAGTAGCTTACCCTTTTCAGAAAGTACATTTTGTCACAATGTCACATTATTTGTCAATACAATTAATTTATATTTATATTCAAAATGAAAATCTGCTCAGAGAAGAAGTTGAAATAGGGAAATAAGAATTTATAGGGGTTGAAATGATCATTTATGATTTGTTTGTGAGATTTTCATATTTTATACACGTAACTTCTACGCCACTGGTTAAAGTATAAGTTAGTGCACAAATTTTGATTCCTTAAAGAATTCTACTGTGAAATGGTATTTTATATTAAAGCCTTAAACCCAACGGTTTTCCAAAAAAATGAGATTTTAAGTTAAAGTATATTTTTAGGTATGAAAATTTTGATTTAATCAAAAAAAATTCTTTCTGCATAATACTCACAGTTAATCAATGTTTTCTTATGTAAAAATGTCTGCATAATCCAAATTTGTATTCAAAATGAAAGTCTGTTCAGTGGCGGAGAAGTTATAGGGGTTGAACTGAACACTTTTTGATTTCTTTGTGAGATTTAATCCAAAAAAAATCTTTCTATCTTCAAAATTACCTAATAAAAAATCCAAATTTATATTAAAAATGAAAATATGTTCAGTGGCTTAGATGTTATTGGGGTTGGGGTATAAATTTTTGTTTTTCATTGCATAGAACAAAAGATGTAGGTATCAAGGTGAGGAAAGAAGACGTTATTTGTCTCGGAAATATTTGCCGAGAAGTTATAAAACGTCGTGAGTAGGTAATTATCTGGGAGGAGTCATCCGAACGCACTAACAACCTATAAAATTCGAAATACACCCATAAAGTAATACGTCCACTCCATAAAACCGTCTCGGACTCATGTATAAAACGCGAACGGATTAATGTTAATTGATATCTACGATTTTCCCTCATAAATCTACCGTGAAACCCATTCTGCAAAACTAATTGCAGTCATATAAAGCTTTGTCGTTTTAAGAGTTATTGTCATATATCTATTCCAGTAAAGTTATATAGATAATAATTTGTACATGTTTTCAAAAGAATAAAAAAGACATGTTTGTTTTAAGTATTGTAAAAATTGTTATAGTTAATAATAGTTATTAATAGAGAGACCCGGTATAATATGATGTGACGTATATGTCTTAAATAAGGTTAGGTTAGCATAACCACATAACCTATTAATCAGAGAATTTTATGAAGTGGTGAAGTGAACAATGTACTTCTCCAAAAACGTGAGTATTATAAAAAATATTGAATTTGGGTGAAATGTTAATCGTTATTATCACTTATCTGAGTTTTAATTTAGGGCGAAACGCACTATTTGGACTGGAAACTTGGTAATCTGGATCAGGATCCTCTTCTTCTTGATAGGATAGGATATTATTCAGGATATTCTTCTTGAAAACAAGAACGGATGTTATCTTCAGGATCTCCAAAAATTGTTATTTCTATGTAACTTTAAATCCGGTATTTTTTTCTAATTAGGTAAGTTTTTCTTCAATAAATTTGAGGTTATATAAGACTTTTTCGATAACTGAGGTTCTAAAACCAATTTTTGAACAAAACGACGTGTACGTAGAAGCGCTGTTAAATCGACTGTCCCTCCTCCGAAAATTTCACCCCTTATATACGATTTTCTTAAAACAAATGAAAATCGGTTCATTTTGATTGCTTGGATTTTTCGGTGGGTCATCCATTTTATAATATTCCTATTGTTTTGAGGTTATAAAATCAATTTTATTAAATTCTACTTTAATCTTTTGAATTTCTCCAAATAAAGGTTTATTATTCTTTTCTTTTAGATTTGACCAAAGGATTTGACGAAAATTTCACCCTACGTTATGAAATTTTGATGTGAAAAGTATGTAACTACGAAAGGGATTTTTATCAGCAGTAAGTGTTATTAAGTTCTAAATTATCATTAAACTAACTAATGAGTATTCTAATTATAATATATAAGTGGTTTGAAGTCGTTTAATAACAAATTTAAAAAATTAAATTATAATTATGTCAAATTTAAAAAGTGAGGTTAGAATTCTCACTCTCGGTCTGTCAGACCGAATAATTCACGTCACCACATCACTGCAGGCTTAAATTATTAACTAATACAATGTTTATCAATTGTGTAAAGTATTCCGACCCTTCGTAATATCATAATAGATAATAATTTGTAGGTGTTTTGAAGAAAATAAAAAAGAAATGTTTGTTTTAGGTATATAAGAATTGTGAAAAAGTAAGGTCTTTTCCACATTGTGCTGTCGCCCACACAGTTCCATGATTGATGGTGCGGAGTTGTCGGCAAGTTCTTTCCATCGAAACTGGTAAAAAGGCGAGTGTCTCAGGAGGCACAGGTGCCACTCGGCGCATTCCTGTTCGAATACCGGAAGTGGGTCCACACAATGGGGAATACGTGCAGTCTGGTATAGCCGAGTTGGACACAGCGTATGCCGCCCGCCGCGCGCCCCTTCGCGGTGCCGTACGTGATCGCGCATGCATTACGCCTAATTAACGCCCGACGGGTCGCCGTGGCGCGATTGTTGCTTTCCTTTATCGCCGTACCGGGAAGTACGGACGAAACCGTAAGACGATGGCGCGGTCCGGCAGCGACGTCTTGTCTTGCTTTTATACCTATACCTTTCGGCGCCACCTGTCGGCGTCGAAACGTGCAAATTCGCCGCGAACTTATACACGTGCGCTCCGGTTTTCCGTTCTGTCAAACCGAAACGAGCACGCACTGTTCGACGCGCAAGAGAGGAGATATGATTAACCTTCGTCACGAGAGCTGGGCGCTGCCGGCGCCACCGTCATTACACCCCTTCACTTAATAACACCTAAGAAAACCACTACGGGGCGAATATCTCGTGTAATCATACATTCGGAGGCCGCTGACATGAGGACGACGTCTTCGGCGGGACCGCCGGGGGCGCCGCGACGCCCCGAGTACTACCACGCCGATTTTCAGACCGATTCACCGCCGACGCGGAATCCATAAATCATCCGCCCGATTGATTCACGTTTCGGATCGCAACTCCAACTACGTTAATAATATGGCCGCAACCAACGGATCGACACGTGTTGAAAAAGAACGGGCGGACGCGAGAAGACGTAAAAATCCCTCGCGTTACATGTGCGGTGCGTTATCCGTGGGTATAAAATTAGTGTTCGTGGCGACAGGACATTAATTACCATACAATGGATGTACGGGGACCTTCCCCTGTCAGATGGCGTTGTGCCTGGTGGGCCGGCTAAAGGCAGGGAACGAGAACCAAGTGACGACCCATCAAAACGGACACACCTCAAAAAAAAATTTTTTTTCTTTATCGAAATTCTCGTTATTGTAAGTAATTTGCAATCTAATATCTTTTTTGATTCATACACTACAATGTTTTCTTTAGAGGCTGTCTAAATGCTATTTAAGATAGAGGGAAAGGAGAACTTGGAAAGCTTCGTACGATCGCGAAACCATCTCGAAGCCGACGTTAAGGTATGACCGGTATCGACGGATCTACATGTGTAGTACAGGTCTGTGGGAACATGGTTCAACGCGTACTCAGCACACAGGTTCTAGATTTCAGCTAGTTCATGTGAGAACTGCTCGGATCGTTATAAATCGATCGGTGGAAGAGGTAAGAATTAGCATCGCGACGCTTTCCACTTCGCCTTCTATTTCGCCTTCTACTTCGTCTTCCACATCGCCTTCCACTTCACCTTCCACTTCGTCCTGGGTATTTTATCGACGTCCGTTTGGACGACGGGACGGTGAAACAAACAGACAGCCATCGAGCGCGGTATGCGGGAGTGTCCATCACGTATTTGGTGACATGTCTATGCAGTTTGAATGCCAAGCGTCGCGACGACGTACAACACGTGAAGGTCATACGGGTTTGAAACGAACCAGCGATTTCTGTAGACATTTACGGGTATTTATTTAGGGCGGAATAGAAACTCCGGGCCGACCTATTGTTCGACCGTAATCCATGAAACTTACACCCGAAGACTTTAACTTCTAGTCGCACCTGCGATGACGCGGTCTAAGGTGCAGAGAAGAAACGTGTGGGTCGAGAAAAAAAAAAGTAACTAATCCTCTTACCAAAAAACCAACAGAGAAAATATCAGGAAGCTGATACATGACATTATTTTTTCTTTTATAAATTTTCTATCTATGGTCTGAATCACATTGGCACGTCAATTACAGCCGAAGTAATAAATGGTTCGAATACAAAGTTGTCAGTGGCTTATTCTTTTTTAAACTTATACATATTAATGAGACAAACGTTAAACAAAACTTGTATCGGGTGCGGTGCGAACGTTTGTCTTTGACAAGATAGACAAAACATCGAATAACACCTGTTTAACACGTTTCTAATATACATACTAATTTAACCCCCCTCATTAAACACTATTCATGAATTAATTCTTCTACATTTAAGAATATTTGACCTTTTCGTTTTACCGTTAAGCCGCCAAAGCGTAAGAAATTGCAGAGAATGCGACAAACACCTTAGAGGCGCCATCTAAGGATGTGGACATCAGTGGAATTTTTCTATTAAAACCAAGCTCAATTGCTCGAGTGTGTTTTCTTCAACTAAGAGATATAAGACTATTTATCTTCGGGTAATCTTCTCTGATTGCGTCATATGTCGGGAAAATGTCGTTTTATGGGAAAACATCTTTATCAACTAAAGTTTATTTTTGCAAAAAATCGTTGACTTTTTTTTGGGAGTTAAGTTATATCTTAAATTAAGGGAGATAAACGATGTGTTATATCTTAAATTGAAGCTTAAAGAGTCTATTTTATAATAAGCTATGAAAAGCGAATGATTTGATAACAAAATTTAGCAGAAAAATGTTAAACACGAAATTGACAGATGCGGTTATTTTAGTATCTGTTAAATATAAATGAGAATTAAAAAAATCATTCCAACCTTATTTTTATGAGCTGGGCAAAGATTTATGTTTTAAATTAATGCTAAAATGTTCTATTTTACGATAGGATTAAAAAAATGTATGGTTTGATATGAAAAATATTTCTAAAAAAATATTGAAAGAAAAGTTATAAATTTAGGTTGTGTCATAAAAAGAGAAAACTAGAAACAATCATCCTACTATATTTTTGGAAGTTAAACGAAGCGTTATATCTTAAATTGAAGCTTAAAGAGTCTATTTTATAATAAGCTATAAAAAGCGAATAATTTGATAACAAAATTTAGCAGAAAAATGTTAAATAAGAAATTGACAGCTGAGGTTATTTTAGTATTTGTCAAAAATAAGTAGGTGAGAATTAAAAAAATCATTACAACTTTATTTTGAACCACAAACCAAAGATTTATGTTTTAAATTAAAGCTGAAATGTTCTATTTTATGATAAGATTAAAAAAATGTATGGTTCGATATAAAAAATATTTCTAAAAAAATTCTTGAAGGAAAAGTTGTAAATTTAGGTTAGGTTGAAAATTGTCATAAAAAGATAAAACTTGAAACAATCATCCTGATTTTATTTTTGGAAGTTAAACCAAGTGTTATATCTTAAATTGAAGCTTTAATAGTCTATTTTATAATAAGCTATAAAAACCGAATGGTTTGATAACAAAATTTAGCAATTAAATGTTAAACAAGAAAGTGACAGATGCGCTTTTTTAGTATTTGTCAAATATAAATAAGAATTAAAAAAATCATTCCAACCTTATATTGATGAGCTCAGCAAAGATTTATGTTTTCAATTAAAGTTAAAATGTTCTATTTTATGATAAGATTAAAAAAATGTATGGTTCGATATAAAAAATATTTCTAAAAAAATTCTTGAAAGAAAAGTTGTAAATTTAGGTTGAGTTGAAAAGTGTGATAAAAAGAGAAAACTTGAAACAATAATTCTGATTTTATTTTTGGAAGTTAAACCAAGTGTTATATCTTAAATTGAAGCTTAAAGAGTCTATTTTATAATAAGCTATAAAACCGAATGGTTTGATAACAAAATTTAGCAATTAAATGTTAAACAAGAAAGTGACAGATGCGCTTTTTTAGTATTTGTCAAATATAAATAAGAATTAAAAAAATCATTCCAACCTTATTTTGATGAGCTCAGCAAAGATTTATGTTTTCAATTAAAGTTAAAATGTTCTATTTTATGATAGGATTACAAAAATATATGGTTTGATATGAAAAATATTTCTAAAAAAATTCTTGAAAGAACTTAGATTGTGTTGAAACACGTTATAAAAAGCGAAAACTTTAAACAATCATCATATAGCTTAAATTGAAAGAGATCTTAAAGAGTCTATTTTATAATAATCTATAAAAACCAAATGATTTGATAACAGAATTGGTCAGAAAGTTTAGTTAATATATTTAGTAATTTTCATTTCTTTTCCTCCTGATGTCGGGGAAACCCAAACCGGTTGCTAAATTGATCGTGTTAAAAACAAAAACATCTGAGTCGTTTTGGGTTCTTCCAAGATGTCAGAGTTAATCACCGATTGATTATCACTACGAATTATCTTTAGCTACACAAAATCTCGTCTTATTTCAATTCGCTTTGTCTCCAATTTTTTCGCAAACATCCTTGAGAAGTGCGAATAAACAGAAAGTTTTTATGAAGTTTTTATTCATTTTTCAGAATTTCTTCATTCCTGGTCTCAACAAAATCAATTAAATCGATATTATACAACTTTAATGGTACAAAAACAAATCAACAAATCACTTGCGTAAATAATTGAAATACGTCCACATTTATAACAGATAATAAATAAAATCGTTAACACTCGTAACCCAGTTGTTTGCAATTTCAACACCCAACGTTTATTGTTATGTAATAAACGGAACAAGAAAATTATTTTTATTATTTTAACCTCGATATCTTTTTAACTTCCTTATTTGAAATATTTTCAATTTCTCAGTTCATTAAGTCAACGAAAACAAATAGAATTGAAATTGTAACATAACTATATTTTCAAGCTTTTCTTATCTTATTGAAACGTAATCTGTGCGTGTTGTACTTAAAAAAATTAAATTGCAGCAATTTAAATAAACTGTAAATAATTAACTGGTAACAAAATAATAATACAAACGAAATTTTTTTAATTATTATAAATAATTACATAATTGACTTTTTTCTTGTCTATATATATTTTTTTCTAATACACGTTATGTTACTAATTATACAGGCTATACAATCTTTTTCGCCACCAAGGACCTTGAATGCATGTGGAATTATTAATCACAATAAAAACGCTACATTGAACTAATTAACGCCGGGTATATTTAGCGTATAATCGGAGTCGTCTAATTAATCGATTCATTCTGAAAGCTCGTTACGTCCAAGCTGTAATTTGATTTATAAATCGGATATGTATAACCACGTCCATTAAAACCCACCTTATTATTTTTCATTTAATCATAGTTTTTATTTAAAGTTGTATAAAAATACGCACATAAACGTTATGATTGCAAGTCCACTTGGCGGTTTCTATCTTTGCAATTTAAACGTTGTATCTGATTAGGAGTAAACGTCAAATAAAGTTACGTTGGTGAGTTATCTTTAAGAAAAGTTAAAAAAAGAAAGGAAAAATAAAGTAACGGCAGAAAAAAGAAACGTGGTCGAGATTTGTTTCGTTAGATAAGATTTTTATAATATATGGGAATAATCCTGCGGCACCGGAAGCCAGAACGAAAGAACGTGGGATCCACCTTCGTATTAGACACTTCGTTGTGTGTGTGTATCTGTGTGGAAGGTAAATGTAAACGTAAATGTAAGAAAAGGCGTTTAAAAAGTTGCCCCTAAATCACCAAAAACCTTGGTCGCGGTCTGGGAATATCAAATTAAGGATTACTTAGCCGCGTGGCCTTCAACAAGCGCCTGTTTGCATATTTTCCACATAAATTCCTAGATATAGTTTTATATATATGACGCGATAGCGCTAGAGTGTGCGTTAGCCAAAGCATTTTATTTCTTGTTAGTTTTTTTCTACATTCCCATGTGACTCTTTGCGAAATGCCAACCGGCTTTTCTGTGTAGGCGGTTTGTGTGAAGTTCTTTCAAGATTATATCTTGCAGCACAGAGGTTGGCTGTGTTGAATTAGAAACAGTTTTGTTTGCTTCGGATGACAACGTGTACATAGTAATCATTTAACAAAAATAACCATCTATAAACGAAATATCTTAAACTAAATCTGAAATAAAAAATTTAACGGTTTTATCATATGAGTCCACTATCCGAAACGATTTTGTGCAAAAACATGTAGCTTTATATGAATATATGAAGAAATGATCTTCAACATGATATTGATATCTCAATTCGTTTCTGAGATAAGATATAACCTAACTTCTTCGAAATTGCGAAATATCTTATACTAAATCTAAAATAAGTATTTTAACGGTTTTACCTTAAGGGTCTACAGCCTATCAATATCCTAACGGTTTTGGTCAAAAACGTATACCCAACGATTTCAATCCTTTATTTGCTTAAGGCTCCAATGTCGTAGACTAAATTTGCCAGAAGATCCCACGGATTTCCTCTCTTCGATTTATGCAATTTCATCCGACCAAAGAAATTCTTCATCGTGAATCAAACGGTTAAAAAAGAATATCAACCTGGTCTATTGGACTCATCTACATTTTTATATATGGGTTTTTGACCCTTTCGTATTCAAATACACCCATCGAAATCGGCAGCCTCTTCTTAATGGTTTATCATCCGGGATGGTACCTGATTCAACCCCGTTGGGAAAAGAAGCACATCGCGGTAGATAGCGCGAAGGGTTGGAATGAGATCAATCAGGATTGAAAACAGGTAAAAAGCGTTCGGTGTCCCTTACACTTAATATTCAAGCAGGTAGTTGGAATATATTTGGCATACATTATGGGTACAGGTAGATAAAAAAATTGGTCTTCCGTAACAAGTTTAGATTGCAATAGGTTGCTAAGATTGGTTGAGTAGGTAAAGGTTTGGGGTGTAGTGAAAATTTATCGTGTTAAACCATGGTAAGGGTTGAAAGTGTTTAGGTGAAATCGGAAATTAAAATAACCGGAAGGGTACGTTTTGCATAGTGTGAGAACGTTTCAAAGGGGATGCATATAATGATGGACCGCTTCTTTCGTCTCAAAAGATGCAAATATCCATTTCTGACCTGGAAGGACATTAAATATGCAACTCTTTGTAAAACCTCTCGCAACCCATTCATCCCCGACTACCTTCCGGTTTTTTCTCATACACCGCGCTCTCCAACCGTTTTTGCATCTTATAACGTACATTTTTTTTTCTGTAACGTTTTTTTTCTATCCAGCCCTTCGTTAAAAAAACTCGTTTTGATTACGTACACAAATTAATGCATTGCGACAAGTGTTTATTTACAACTATTAACATCTATCCACCTGATACTTTCATTTACATACATATTGCATTGGTATTTAAATAAGGAAGTTGTTTAAATTAAAAATAAATAGAAAACCTTATAGCACCTTCTTATTATGGTTTTGTCTTGATTTATTGTTTTTTACTAAGAGCTTAAT